CTGCAGTGCTCAGCTGCACACCACACCCTTCATTAATGGCAATTTCAGGTGTATGTTTCTGGGATTCGAGCAGAGTGTTGGCATGAATGCTGGGGAGCGGTTTTCTAATACTGTACTGATGGTGTACTACCTGCGCAGGTAATAGTATCATCCCATTGCTGGGGCCCTGGACCTCTTCTGTAATTGACTTCTTGTAACTGCAGTCATTTCTGAGAAAAAGACTTCAGCAGCAGGGGGGGTGACTCCCAGGTCAGTATATAAGTGTGAGAAAGTGCAGAGTCGGTCTAAACCACATCCTCAACTTACAGGTATCTCCACGTTCTCTGTCTTTGGGTGAGTACTAAAATGTCATTTGGAAATTGTTCAGTTTATACTGTAACTTAATAAGCAAATACATTTTTAAAAAATATATTTTAAATACAAGGTTATGCTTGGGGATGTTTTAAGACAATATTCAGGTAATGGCTATTGGTCTCTTATATGAAGTATTAAAATAAACTGCTAGCACGTAATACAGTGTCTTAAAATTGTTGGCAATACCCAGAATGAAAAAAAAAAAATTTAGCTTTTTTTTACCTCCTTCACAATCCTCACGATTAATAGATACAGAAGTACTCACACGTTTGTGGTCTGTTTAATTTAATGTGTACAAATGAGTGAGGCATTGATGAGTGGGTCAGAATTTATAACTGAGTTTTTTTCAAAATATTTAGAAACATACAATTTTCATTGTTGTGATTTACAATTATAAAACAAAAAAAATCGCAACTTCATGCTGCTGTAGTAGTTATAGTTTGGAAAGCAGACTGGATCTTGAGGGCAGAGACAGACCCACAATAATGTAATAATGATAATTGGGGCAAAGACATGTTCTCTTTTAGCAGATAAAATACATGCATCTTATTAACTGAAAACACTTTATTAATATAAAATTCACATGTAGGTGTTTTTAATGTAAAGCTGAAGTGTGTGTTTCTGGGATTCAAGCAGGCTGTACCTGCAGGAGTTCTGTGGAGTCGCTCTCCGATAGTGATGTTTCTGGACAAGATTACCTGACTGGTGCTGCAGTCTTGAGAACTAGACCAGTCTGAGGGCTGAAATAGTTTAGGTATCGTAGGTCCACACTTTCACACTTGGTTAAAAAAAAATCTCATAAAATTCCTCCACAAAGCAGATTTTTGTAAGTGAAGCACTGACCTTGCTGGTGTCCAATAGCGAGAGCAGTGTAAGTGTCCGAGGGCTGGTCTAGTGGGGATGGCATGAGCAGGACATCTTCACGGGAGTCTTGGATCTGCTGTCAGGGCCGAGTACAGCACCTCTTCCTTCATGTCTCACCCCCAGGACCTGTACAGAACAAGCAGGTTGGCCGATGGAACTCAGGTGCTGTGCCTAGATGTCTCAGTCTAGATTTCTTGTCTTTCTGTTTTTGATGTGCAAGGATATTGTCAGTACGGGTGAAAAGAAAGGTCTTTATCTGAAGGTCTTTATTGTCTTTGTTCTTAATCATAGCCAGATTGAGTTTCTTGCTCCATAGTGTATGGCTGGATAAAGCTTAATCTAATAGTGATTTTGTGGAAATAGGATCACTTGTTAAAATACCCTGAACATGATCAGCTACACCACACATCTGTGAACATTATGACTGAACAACAGTAAGAAGAATCACTATGCTCTCTTGGAACCAGAGCCCAATAACACTTGCACACAAGTTCCAATAAGACTTAATCTGAGCTTTTCAAAAAGTTTAAAGAATGGATTTGCTTTTTTCTGATGAATTTTGTGCCCAAATGCCACATTGCAGCACTTTATAGTACTCGATTAAATTTAAATTTCTTGAAATAAAAAACACTTTAGTGGAGTCATACCTGCTGAATAAAAGGGGTGTGATAAGAGTTATAACACTGCTTCTCCAGAGAAACATTTTTGGAAACCTGTTCAGTGAGAGGCACAGCACGTACTGAACAACCACAAAATTAAAAAAATAACAGTTTGCAAAGATCAAGATCGAAAGCTCAGGAGGGGGTCCGCCTGTTTCCGTTTCCTCTGAAAGCTGACAGCTCTAGTATACAATGTTTCAACTAGGGGGTGTTCTTGAAGGAAAGCCAGCACCAGTGCCCAGCACCAGAATCCATCTTTGAGAAACAGAGGGCTGAACTGTCCTGTTGTCTCTGAGAGGAAACTGTGAGGTCAGTGGACAGAGATCATTGCTGAGGGTCCTGCACACTGTGGTAGCAACTTGCTTCAAGCAAGAAAACAGCTCAGGATTGATCTTGGACAGGTCCCGCTTATAATACCAAGTGGTCCCCTAGTGGCAATATCAGGTATGACACTCACCATTGCTTGCATAGAAAGTTAAAATTAACAACTAATAAACTAACATCCGTTATTCCTTAGTGGAAAAAGAATGTAAAAAGCACTGGATGTGTTTCCCCATCACTTACTTAATTTCTTTACAAAAGTGTAAACAGAAAATTGAATTCACATTAAATCACAACACTAGGTGTCGTATGCATTCAAGTAAAAACTGTGCTCTGCTTGTTAATGTCAAATGAATGGCAAAAACATGAGTTAAGAACTCTAAAATTTTAAACCTGTGAGAATCACACCTGAATAGTCACATGATTTAACAAATATAGGACATTTTGCCAAGATCTCCTGAAGGAAACCAAAATTCCTGTAGGTGAGATATTTTAATCCCAGATTTGAACTGACCAAGCAGAACTGTGGCAGACCAGACTTTCTCTATGGCTAATAAATAGAGCAAGAAAGAGACCAGAATTTAGAAGTCAGGACCAGAGGAGCAGGAAGACAAGGAGTGAAGACCAGAGGAGCCAGGATGCCCAGAAGGAGAAGCAGGAGCAGGAGCTCCACTGGACCAGGGAAGCACAGTCTGATACTCTGCTCCACCTCAGCTGCTGCTCCAGAACAGGCTGGTGTTGGGTGTGAAGGCTCACTATCCATCCGGACTTTTCTCTGGGTTCAGGCTTCGGAAATTCGCCCAAAGCCACAGACGAGGCTCCACTTGTCACAGTCTGGAGGAAAAAGCGCCACTGCAACTGGGCTGTGAGGAAACGTCACATGGCTGGACTCTTTTATACTGCGTCTCACAAGGAGAAAAAGCATCAACGCTCTCTCAGTGGCTCGACTGTCTCCAGTGGTTGGAGTCTCTTTCTCTCTCTCCCTCTTTCAGCAGCAGAGCTCGGCTGCACAGCACGTCCAGCCCTTCACGGCTGCCTCACATCCCTGAAAGGAGGCAAATGTGTAAACACAGTGGAACCTGGCTGTCAGGTGTCATGACCATGAAGACCACTCAGGTGGAGGCCCAGCTGACCGCCTGTCACAGAGCTGCTCTGATTCCACCACCGATTATTCATGTTCCAGGTGAAGGTGTCGCTATAGACCTGACTGGCCCTACACCCCAGCTGGCTGAAGGACACGACTGTATTTAGACTCTATCTGGAAGCGATTCTTGTATGACACACAGTCTTTTCAACAGTGACACCATAGCTGGCAACAGTTTAAAAGAAGAGGAAAAAAACTGATTTAGTTGAACCAGGTAGTAATGAGATATTTTACCTGATTTTCAGGGGGTGATCAAAGTATTGCATATATATACATTGAAGTTTTAACTGGGCATTGACTGATAAGTACAGTTGAAACAGCGGACAAACAATATTATAGACAGCAGTAATGTCAAGACAATAGAAACAAATAGGTCTAAAAACATGCAACAGCTCACCATCTCTTTGTAGAAAATAAGGCAACAGTTGGGTTTCACTTTGTAAAAGAGCTGCTTGGGTGTTGTCTAGGGGAAAGAAAGTGCGTCTCCACTGGGTAACTCCTGTATTATTTCAAAGCAGGACTTCAGGGTGGTGGTAACCAGGTGGATACAAACCAGGATTCTCTATACATATAGTTTTCAACAACTTAGTGCCCATGCCGTTTTTTTAAGATTGAAGAATTTTTATTGCTTATTACTGACAGAAATCCAAGTAGTAGATAAGTGAAGGTTCCCAGAGCGAATCTTCATCAACCAGGGATGTAATCTATCTGGATCCCCAGATTCACAGCTACATCCATTAATGTAAAACCTAAATTATATATGTAAAAATACAAACATATATAACTGTTGACTTTAAAACTTCTTTCTACAGTATCCAGTCCAGCACCAGCCATGTCATCTGTAGGAACTGTTTCCATTGAGATGGCAGCTCTGGGCAGACCCTTCCAGCTGGGGATGCTGTATGACTGCCGTAGGGACGCACTGTTCCCAGGTAAACCTGCAGCACAGCAGACACAACTACGCACTGTTCCAGCTGGGCTGCTGTATGACTGACACACTGTTCCCATGTAAACCTGCAGCAAAGCAGATACAACGACACACTGTTCCAGCTGGGCTGCTGTATGACTGACACACTGATCCCAGGTAAACCT